TTATGGCCTCTGAGGCCAGAGACCATGCAGTCACCTCTTCTGACTTTTTCCAAAATAAAAGAGGATGTCTTAGAGACTGAAAGTCTTTTCCATTAGATGTCTTTTGACAGAGCCTCACTCTTGGCTGGAGTGAATAAATGAACCAATATTAGGAAAAAGTCAGAACTTTGGGGGGATTTCTAGAAGCTCCTAGATTCAGAGGGGAGGTTTGTAAAGATGCATACAACATAGAGCCTCCCAAGTTTTCATGCTACCGGTAAGGATAGTCCTTTTTAACTTCATCAAGAAGGATTTCCTTATCCTAGCTATCTCTGGAACTTGGGAGTGCCAGCTGCTTTCCAGTGCCTTCCACCTCTGCTGGTTCCTTCAGTATTCACACAAATGTGAGTGATTCTTTTATCAATAACAGCCATTAACCTGAGCCAGATGCCTCTGATAGCTGTCTATTTCTCTAGTGCCTTCTCTCTTAGAGTTTTCCAACAGTTGACCCTTATTTGTTGCCTAATAGACTTGCACTATCTTTTGCACTTCTTGACTGTCTTCTGTTTCTTCAGATGATGAGGACTCCCAGCTGTCCCAAGAGCAACGTGGCCCAAAGCCTTGCTGTACTCAGGTTACAACTCTGGCTGCAGAGTAGAATGACCCCCTGCCCTAAGTAGCAGAAATAACAGATGTCCCCAGTCATGTCATGCAGTTTGGAGATGACCTGCATCACAAAAATCTACTACACCCACCCACTTTCCATCCTCCTCTCCACAGATGAGGAGGGGAAGGTCAAACATACTCGCCATGTCCATCTCTGACTCCTGGACCAAGAGCTGCAGTTTCTGTGACTCTCTGGGGAAGGGCAGGGGGCCCCGTGCTCCAAAATGTTCCCTCCTGCTTGTTGAATTTTTCCCTGTGATTCATCATCAGACAGTTGCAGGTGAGTAGAGCCTGGAGAGTCTCAGCTACATGCTTGCCCTTTCCTTTGTCTCTGCTCTACCTGTGCATTTAGATTAGAAACCCACGAGGCATGTCTACCTCTGTGCTCTGCATGACGTCCACCAATTGTGGGTGCTCACGGAATGTGGATGATTGATGATGGTGTTAATCTGAGTAATAAAAGCATTTTGTGCACAGTTCTGAGGAAGCTTCTCAGTACTATGTCATGGGTGTGTGTGTGTCCTGCAGAGGAGAGAGGAACCTAGGTAATGGGCAACTGCAGATGCCCACACCAGGACGGCCCAGCTTGGAATGCTCCTTCCTTTAAAAATAAAAGAAAAGCAAATCCAGCGATCAAGCAAACAGACAAGCCCTCACATAAACTGTAGTAGCAAGGCTTTTTAACAGCATCACCAGTTTGTGTGTCAGCTGCTTGAGATTTTAAGTCAAAAAGAGCAAGGCAGTTTTGTATGAAGGAGCCACAGCAGCAAGGATTTATTGAGAGCTTGCTAAGTGCTGGCTTCTTTACATAAGTTATCTCAAGCTAAATACAATTGCCTCATTTTGAAGATGAGGAAACTGAGCTTCTGAGAGGTGGGGTGACTTGCCCAGATCACATAGTGCTAGGAACTGAATGTTTGTGTCCCTCCAAAATTCTTCTGTTGAAGCCCTGATCCCCAGTGTGATGATGGTGTTTGGAGGTTTGGCTATTGGGGAGGAATTAGGTTTAGATGAAGTCTTGAGGATGGCATGAGTTTCCTTATAAAAGAAGAAGAGAAACCAGAGCTTATTCTCTCTCAGCCGTGTGGAGACACGTGAGATGGTGGCCATCTGCAGGCCAGGAAGCAGGCTTCGTCAGGGACCAATCAGCTGGCACCCTGATCTTGGGCTTCCCAACCCTTAGAACTGTGAGAAATCAGTGTTTGTTGTTGAAGCCACCTGATTTAAGGCATTTTGTTATAGCAGCCCGAGCTGACTAAGGCACATAGTTCCTAACTCTTTCTTGGCCTTGAGATTTGCATGAGGGTCTGCTGACGCCAGTCCCCTTGACCTTGCTCTCGGCTGCCTCGTTTATTCTTTTCAACATCCTTCCTTTGGATTCAGTAAAAGAGGATGAGGCAGGGAGGGTCTTTGATCAGGTAGTGGTGGGTGGTAAGGTGGAGATCCTGCAAGAGCCATCACCACCAGCCACAGATGTGGCGGCTGCCCCTCACCTGGAGCCAGGCCCCTGAGGAGAGAAAGGCCAAGGACTGTGGCAGAGGGGAGAGGGAGGGAGTCCCCAGACAGCAGGGTCCCCAGAGGCGCATCAGAGGGGGACTCTACTGGGCCAGTTGGCGCTGTGGTGGGAAAAGGAATGCTCTGTGCCATCACCTGGACCCTGGGAGCTTTCATCATTATCCAACAGCAATACTTGCTTTCTAGGAACCAACTGTGCCTCCGCTTCCATCTGCTATCATGGGCACGACTTTGGGGTCACACTACAAAACCACACAGGGGCTTAAATGGGGTCAGGTATTTCTTTCTCCAGATATGGCTCCAGGACAGGGCTGGGGTAAGGATCTTACCACACTGGAGGGAACCCAGTGCCAGGTAGCCCAAAGTATGGAGAAGGCAGGGGGGCTAAAAGCAAGCACAATAACATGGTGGAAATAATAATACATATGAATAATGTATAACAGCAGCCAAGTACATCGGGCTTGCTAGCGGGTTCCTGTATCCATGGGCAGCCTTTCAGGGCAGAGCTGTGCGCCTTGGCCCCAGAGGCGCCTCCAGTCGTGGGAAGGGGCTCAACTGAACCTGCTGGACATGGGCCAGGGTCGTGGTGTCTCCATCATGGAAAACTGAATCGCATCTTCAGACAGTATGAGAGTTAACTACTTAGAGAAAGCCTTGGAGAAACAGAAAACAGTGAGTGTGGGTAAGAATGTGTGAAGAATTGGAACCCTTGCACACCATGGGTAAGAATGCAAAATGACAGTGCAGATGCTGTGGAAAACAGTATGAAAAGTCCTCAGGAAATTAAAAATAGACCTGTATATAAGCCAGCAATATTACTCGTGGGTATATATCTAAAAGAATTCAGAGTAGGATCTTGGAGGGATATTTTCACACCCATGTTCGTTGCAGCATTATTCACAATAGCCAAGAGGTGGAGACGATCCAAATGGTCATCAGTGGGTGTGATGAAGAGAGAAAACGTGCCATATCAGTACAAACGAATGTTATGTAGCTTTAAGTATGAGATCCTGTCACATGCTTCGTCATGGAGGAAACTTGAGGACATTATGCCAAGTGAAATAAGCCAGTCACAAAAAGACAAACCCTGTGATTCTGTTCTTATGAGGTATGTAAACTAGTTAGAACCATAGAAATAGAAAGTAGAAGGATAATTGCCAAGGGTTGAGGGAAATTAGTATTTAATGGGCAGAAAGTTTCAGTTTTTCAAGATGAAAAACTTCTAGAGATTTGTTGTACAACAGTGTGAATATACATAGGGCTATAGCCTTAAAACTATATGCTTAACACTGTATACTTGAAAATGCTTAAGAGTCTAAATTTAATGTTATATGTTTGAAACCACAGTTAAAAAATAAAATTTAAATTAAGAAAAGAACCCCTTGGAGAGGTTCCCTTCTAAAATGAAGAATTCTTTGAAAATGTGATTCTTTTTTTCATATGTGTATACCTTTGAATTTTTGTACATTAGATTTTCTTAAAGCAAGGGTCACTTGCACTTAGGTATGGGCGACTCCAGGGGGCAGTTACGGTGTCCCTGGATCTACTGCCCCTGGTCCACCACTCCTTTCTCCCACGTAATGGCATCATGCGGTAGAATTGGAGTTCTCTGCCTAACAAGAGGCTTAAGAAAAACGTAAGAGGCTCCCACTTAACAGCCTCTAGAGGCAAATACTTTGACAGAATTGAGGCCTGGGGCTGGGCTGCCCCTTTCATGGAGCCCAGAGACCAGCACTGTGGTCCTGATCAGTTTCTGCATGTGGTATAATAAGAATATATAATAAGAATATATATTTGGTCTTTGTTCCCAGTTCCTGGCACAGAGCTCCTAAAATCCTTGGAGTGTCCTGGGTGATAGAAACATCTGTTAATATTCATAAGGAGACCCTTTGGAACACACCTACATTTATGCTAATGAGGTGACCTTGGGCTAAGCACGGCTAGACAGCTTCTGGGTGGGGCTGGTTGCCAGAGGAATCACAGTGTGATTAGAGAGTTGGGATTTTCGGGGGAGGATAATGGGCTGAAGATTTCTGATCACCAATGGCCAAAGATTTAATCAGCCGTGACCATGTAATGAAACTTCATGAAACCCCTAAACAGGGTTTGGAGAACTTCTGGTTGGTGAACACATGGAGAAGCTCGGGGGTGGTGTGCCCTAAAGAAGATTTGGAAGCTCCATGTCTCTCTGCCCCATGCATTGGCCTAAGCATCCCCTCCATTTGGCTGTTCCTAAGCTGTATCTCTTATAATAAAACTGTAATTGTAAGTAAGGTGATTTTCTTACACTGTGTTCGTGAGTTGTTCTAGCAGATTATCCAACCTAGGAGGGAGGTTGTGGGAACTCCCAGTTCATAGGCAGGTGGTCAGCACTGCTGGTGGCCCAGGACTTACCACTGCTGTCTGAAGTGGGGGCAGGGTTGAGGGACTGAGCCCTTTAACTTACAGGACACGACACTAACTCCAGGGCCATTGTGTCAGAATTGAATTGTAGGACATGCAGTTGGCATCAGAGAATTGGAGAATTAGTTGGTGTCAGAAAATATCTCAGCCTACATTTCCTCCCATGGCCTGGAAAGAGCTCCGTCTGGGTTTCCTCCTCCCTGAGTGACCCCACTCCAAGGAGCAGAGGATGGGGGGGGCAGTGCCGCCTGGCAATGGGGTTACATATGGCCGTCGGGAGGACCAGACAAGGAGCTAGAGCTTGACCAATTGTGTGTCAGTCACCCTGATCAGCCCAGTGGGACAGCCAGGCCTGTTGTTCCTGACCAGATGCTTCATTCTTGCCTGTGAGGCTCAGACAGAGATGATGAGCTCTGAAAAACACCGTATTGTTTGTGATGTCACCTCCGGAATGCTCTGAGTGCTTTGGTGACCGTCTTCTGCATAGGACTTATACCTGGCACCTCACATAGGTATGGCTTTTTACTTAAGATAGAAATAATAATCTTCCAAAAGGTAGTAGGTGTAGGTATCTCTGTTCCAGAGACTGTCAGAAAGCTTTTCCACCAACCATAAAACCCACCTTAATTTGTGTTCAGAGGGGGATAAAGCTTCTTATCAGATATCATCATATTCTTTCAGACTCAGGTTTTCATGACATGAATAACTGACAAAAGGGGATAAGGGAGTAGAAAAAGCCCTCTGCTTCTCAGGTGAGAGCCTGAGGCCCGGAGCACAGGCCAGGAGAATCGTCTTGTTTTCTCTTTTCCACAGCACTCACGGCAAAACATTACAAGAGATACCAGATCTGAAAGCCTAGAAATTCCAGTCATTGTGATTCTACCTCAGGTAGGGATCATCCCAGAAGGACATAACCTACAAGTTTTAGCCAGGAAAACCCTCCTTTTTAAAAACTCCCGCAGGACAGTATAGAGCGAACGGCATTGTCGTGACCTCTGGCTCTATCTATGAGTCAGCTGCCAATCAGCTGTGTGCCCCGGGGAGGGATCTTGGCCACTCTGGGCCCTGCGGTCCTTGTCCCCCAAATGAGGAGGGCGGGTTAGGTGATCTGGTCTGGTAGACCTTCCATTTGAAGTTTCTGTGATACTCTGAAATAAGTCAGTTTTCTCAAAGTCAGATCTTCCGGTCCTCGCCGTTGTGTAACCACTCTGGATTTCTTGGGGGAGAACTAGAACTGGGGCTTGGGATCAAGTGCATATGACTCAGTCCATGAGTAGCAGACCTAGCAGGAGGCCCAAGGATTACTGGGCCACCTGGAGGTACCGGGAGAATGAAGTCCTGCTATATACCAGAAATGGCGTATAAGGGTGGTGGGCCCCAGGGATTCCGCAGGGAGGCCAGTGATGAGATGGTCTTGACAGGCTTGAGATTCTCAGGTCTCCTGCTAAGCAGCCGTTTCCTCAGTGGGGTCCTCCTGATTGGATTGTTCCTACTGCTGTGTCACAAAAGGGGCAGCCTTGCTTCTCCAGAGTCACCTAAGGCTCTGCGGAAGACCACGGTGGTGCAGCCGGAGGGGCCGAAACGTAGGGTGGAGGAATCCAGTGCAGAGGTAACTGAAAGCTCTGCCCAGGGCTGTGTCACCACAGGGTTGGTCACCAGTGGGCATCGTGTGTGTGTGTGTGTGTGTGTGTGTGTGTGTGTGTACGTATACATATAAATATCTCCTTTTTTTCCCCCAAAGCCATCTCTTTTTAAGGATTTTCAGAACAAGATTAGAAAGAAAACCTTCAGCATTCTATCTATAGGGAGAGGTGATTTTAACAATCTAGGCAAGTATGTTCACCAGGATGGAAAAATATAGGGAAAAAAAAAATCGTCTGGCTATGTTTCCACATTTTCCTTAGAACTTTGTAATGAGCAATACTTCTCTATCCATTTTAGCTTATGAAACTTAGAATGTAAGCTAATTTTCTCTTGATCGTTAGGTAAGATGGCTTGCCCACAGGGTCCCCAATGTGTGGGAACCTTGTTTTAGGTCCGATTTTTTCTACATGAATCGTGCAGGTAGTTTCGTTGGCCACTACTCCTCTGAGCGTGGGTGGGTGTTTCTCCTTTGGTTCATTCACAGCCCACATAAATCAATCTTTATGTCACTAAAGGACAAGCAGAGGGTGCCAACTTGGGGGTGGGGATGGGGGAATAGGATTTAAAATAGTGTGTGACATGTGACAGAGTGGGGAAAGTCTTCCATCTGCACGGAGCACGACTCTGCCCACCCAACTCCCCGAAACAGCCCAGCATGGAGGAAGGGGAGGGTAAGCAGACCTGGGGAGTGGTGTAAGAAGGCTCAGGCTATTCTGCAGCCATGTACTTTCCGCACTGCAGGACCTGCTTCTGCTGCCGGGCTCCAGGAGGGTACGGAGGGAGGGGATGACAGGATACCTGCCGCCGGGGCACACGTGCCCCACTTGGGCAGAGGTGGCCTCATGGGTACACCTGCCAGGGGGGCACAAGTCATGCGCTGGGTTTCTGGCAACTGCCAGGATACTCTAGGCTGGCCCTCTGGGGGAGGGGTCTGGGTGTCTGTAAGTTTAGATGATCTCAGCCGCTACCAGAGCTGTGAGAGGGACCGATGTGCTCATTATATCCCCCAGACGAGGTGGCGCGTGGCTCAGGGGAAAGGACTGATCTGGTTAACAAGGGGAGGAAAAAATATTGACTGAGCGCTGATTTATCATGTGTCGGGCGCTGGGCCTTGAGAGCGTGCGGCAGAGAATGTGTAGGCATAGGAACTGGGAGGCCCAGGAGCCCCACTGGTAGTGGCAGAGCTGGAGGCTGGGGCTGGTCAGTGCCCATGCTCTCTGCTGTGCCACGTGCTGGGTATATGCTGCCCTGCCGGGCGGCGCTGCTGAACCGAGCTGAGTCACGCCTGAGCGCTCTGCCGCTTCTTGGGCTTTTAGGAGGCAGTGCCTCCCCTTCCCCCATCCTAACTGCTTGCTCGTGAGCCCCTGCATGTCTCTGCCACCTGCTCCTTTATTCTGGGGCTGGGTCCACTCCGTTTAGAAGGGCATTGCGGTAGCAGCACTGATTCCAGAAAATGCCTCTGGCCTCCCAGCTCCCTACCACGCGGGTGGGTGGGTGGGTGGGGGGTTGGGGCTTCTCGATTACTTTGCAAATGCCTGGGATTTCACTCTTTGTTATCACCCTGAGGTATTTTCAGGTATTACCGATTTTCAGTTTTTCTTCCTCACATTAAATATTTGTGTTTTCTGGTCTGCTCCCTCCAGCACATTAACTTGCCAGCCATCAGTGTTATTTCCTGCCCAAGTAGCTGACCTCCTGGTTCCTTTTGAAAGGAATGATTGGGTTCTCAGGGGCCCCACATTTCTCCAGTGAATTTCCTGAACGTGCTGTTTACAACCAGATCCTTAATGCAGGGGCTACGCCGCATCACAGTGAGCTCCGGCAGTACTCCCTAGTGCCTCTCTCACCCCTCTCTTTTCTCAGTCTCCTTTGTTTAGCTTTGTTCTTCAGAAGCTATGGCATCTGACAATACCTGTATCTCTCCCAGTTTGAATGACTTTTAGGAGGAGAGAGATTCCTGAAAATTCTGTGTTAAGCAGTTAGCTAAAACTGCCACATATGATGATGCATTTTTCCTTATTGCTGTCAATGTTACAATTCTATCGAAATCACATTGTCCTGTGAATTATCCTCTCACCTGTTCATGATTACTAAAGCCAGCACTGACTTTATCATGGTACCAGGGAGCTGAGTCAATTTAAAAATATGATAGTGAGACTCAGCCTTTGTCACCTCAACTGAAAATTAGCGGCAGATTGGCTTTTCTTCCAGAATCCTGGGACCTCTCTGCTTCACGTGCTTAAGAAGTCCCTCAGATGGCTGATGTTCTCTGATTGTAACCCTCAGTAATGTTGCAAAGCAAGTGTTTAAAAAACTTGGTCAATAGGCTAGGAGTTTCCCAGCGGTGTTTGGACATCTTTCTGGTCTGTGGTAGCCACAGTTTTCCAGGAGCAGAGAGAGCTTTGTTGGGGTCAGCTAAGCCTGGATAGTCACTCTGCCACCATCCAGTCCTGTTCCCAAACTCTTCAGATGAGAGGCCACCAATGCTAGAGACTTTACCCCAGAAGATCCCACCCAGAAAATCCTGCTCCTTAAAGAACCCCTGTAGTGTCAGTCAGAGCCTTTGGTCTCATCACCTCCCCTTGCTCTTTGGCCCCTCTTTCCAGTGACCACTTCCTCCTGCTGCCCGCTTGTCACGAGGCTGGTCGATCTGACAAGGCAACACAGCTGCGATTTCAAGTGGTGATTTAAAGCATTTTCCTTCTAGGGCCACTTACCTTTGAAAAGGAGACGCTGGGGAGAGGGCCAGGCCTGATACTAAGGAAGGTCTCCCATCTATAGGGCGGGACTTAGGCCTCTATGAGGGAGATGCCTGTGCCCAGGGTCCCTCCTGGACCCCCAGTACTAACAGATCTTAGGTCACGATTTGAGCATGTTGCTCCTGAGGGCAGAGTTTCTTGATCACCCTCCTAACAAGGCCTGATAGAAAGGTGTGATGGGGCTGACAGTACGCCCTCCTGCATCCATCCTCATGGCCATTCTTTTAATTTTCAGGACTAGGGTTGTCAAAAAAATAAGGAACAGTCCTCCTGTCCTTAGAGAATTGCAATATATTCATGTGGGGAGATAGGACACAAGAAAACCACTGCAAAGTAATGATTGCAACACATGCAAAATAAAATATCTGGTCATTGTAAAGAGCTAGAATGATCATGCCATTTGGAATCAGGTATCCTGATTTTCAACCCTGCCTCTGTTCCCTTGCGTGCTGTATGATTGTAGGTAGAACCATAGTAGCTCTTTTTGGTAAATTATTTCATATGAATATGCAAACAATTAGTGTATCATCACATAATAGTCACTCAGCAAGTGTTATTTCTTTTTCTGGTTCTATAAATCTTCCTTTAAGGAAATGCTAAGCAACCCTTTTTGGGAATCTTCAGTAATCATCTTTGTAGTTCTCTATAAATTTAAAAAATGTCATATATTCTCATTTTATTTTTGAACTGTATAACAAACTGGTTGAAATAAATAAGGCAGATGTTAGTAAGGTTGCTATGGTTGGTCATGTAGGTTGTTCGCTGCAACAACAGTTGTGAAAGGAATCCACTAAAGTTGGTCATTGTACAACCTGCACAAACATATAGGGTGGTTCTGATCACGTTAGCAGCCACATTTTCTAGTTATGGAAATGGAGGCATAGATATTGAGTGATTTTGTGAAGGTCAAGCACTCACACAGTGTAGAGCTCTTCAGGTTTTACAATGTCTGGTCCCTGGATCTCCATACCTTACCTGCATTAATGCTTGCTGCACTTTGACTTCCCTCATTTGCACCAAGAAATACTTGGTGCTGTTCACTGGTTTTTCAAACTGACTGGAAGTTCCCTGAGCGCAGGATCTGAGACCAGATGCCTAATTGTTTGCAGTTCATTAACATAAATGTGGGAGGAAGAATTAATTGGTGCAAGAATATTCAGAGTGGGAATAGATTAGGGTGAGGAGTTTTCACAGGGCCAAGAAAGAACTTTCCTGTGAGGTCTAAGTCCAGCAAGGTCTGGTTGGAATTGGGGAAAATACCACAGGAAAGGAAGAATTGTCTTGGCTCAATGTTTTCCCAAAGTTCAATCATGAGTCTTGGCATATCTGAAATGCCTGTACATTTAGTATTTTCCTTAAATCTTCTCACTTTCAGAAATAGAAAAGGTGCTGCTTTATTTTAGCCTCATCTTCATACTATCCATAGTATTATGGGTTTGATAAAATTGGTATATTTTTCTAATATCCATTAAAATAAACATATGGCTATTAAAAATTTTCAAAAATGTTTTTGTATTCTAAGAAACTAGGTCACGAGGCCAGACTGGACTTGACCTCCTCCTCGGTCCTATCTGGGGAATAGGAAGAAAGAATTATGGCCCAGTCGTAAGAGGAGGATTTGGTTTACTGGGTGAGGAAGTACTGAGAGTCCATCAACATTTTCTGGATCATGTGTTGTGCACATGGAACAGAGAAGGCACAGGGTCTGCTTGATAAGCATTGGCTGTTTAAAGGAGGGGACAAGACATCAATTCAGTTGGTAAAAGATGGCTGCTGGACCCATAATGGTGCCCATGTACAAATACGGATCCACTAGACCAGACAAAGTTAGACCAAGAGAGCATTTAGAGATAATGCCACTGACCCTTCATTAAACAGAAGTGGACAGCAAAGCCAGACAGTGAGGAGGTGTGACCGAGGCCCCTAGATGGGATGCATAAGGACAATGGCCCAAACAGCCAGACTGTCCGTAGCTAGGGACCTGCCACCCACATGTCAAAGTTTTATACAGTGCATTTCTGTTGAAGAGACAGTCAAAAATTCCTTGGGCATGCAATGCAGAATAAAGGCTGCTGAGCAGGATGCTTTAAAGGCCATCATGGTTACCCTAAACAGGTCTAAAGCATAGGATTCCTCTTTGGACAATCAGTTGGATCAAGATGACTGTCTCTGATTGAAACCAATCAGTCATAAAATAGAAATAAGACGATCTAGGAAATTTGAATACTCAGTATTTGCTGATATTAAGGGATCATTGTTCAATTTTAAAGGGAAGATAATGAATATAGCGGTTTTGCTTTAAAGACACATTGATGGATTTGTGGATAAAATAACACAAAGTCTACACTTTGCTTTAAAATAACCCAGTAGTGGGGGAATGGTTGTGGAATCAGGTGAAGGTAAAGATGAGATAAGTGTGGCCTTGATTTGATAACTGCTCAAGCTGGGTGTTGGGTGTGTGGAAAATGATCAGATTATTCTTTTTGTATATGTTTGAAGTTTTCCATAAGAAGTCAGTGAAAAGCCATCTCGATGCACCAGAATCCTGCAAACACTTTGATGAATCCGTGGTGGTTTCCCGTGTGGGTGCTTCACATGTGTAAGTTCAGGGAAGCAGAAGTGGGGTTGTGACTTTAGTGAGTAAACTAGTGCTGGTTATTTAAGTTCTCTGAGTTTGTTCTTCCATTCATGGAATAGGAATAATAATACCATATCAAGTCAAGTGTTGTGAGGGTTAAATGAATTTGGCAGGTAGAATTCTCAGCTCAGGGCCTGGCACAAAACTGTGGCTTAATATTTGTTTCCTCCTTCTCCTTCTCAAAAATGGGATATACACTGTCGAGTAAAATCACAATTTCCATAGTAACGTCTTTCAGGGAAGATCCTGCTGAGACAGAGTCTTGCACTGGCTGGTGTGAGGTAGAGAGGACTTCTCAACATTCACTCCTTTGTGACTGTGGCTGATCTGCCCAGAGGTCTGGACCAAGGGAGGGAGCCTTACATTGACCAGGACGCAGTCTGGGCTATCCACAGTGAGATTCATTCTGATCTCAGGTTCAGCCGCAAGAGCCAATGTGTGTTCCCAACTGCAAGTATGAAAACCATAGAGGCTGGATTTATTGAAGGTAAATAAAGTTTTGATTACCATGTGCCCTGGCACCCTCACTATCTGGATGATTAAGCACATCCTTATGAAGTTAATGACATGTGCTTATTGTAAAGTTAAAGGCACAGAACTATGCTTTCTATTCATCTAGCTCTTTAGGCTTAAAGTTCTAGCTAACTTTATACACTGTGCACATTATATATCCCTGTGTATAATACAGATAACCCTACTTGTTTTCTATCTTCTCTACCTGTAAAATTGGGAAAATAATGTAAGAAATTAGGATATTTGATATTTGGAGAGTACTATGATGTACTTGGATAAAATGCTTTTGGTATATTTAGAAGTAGCTATCATGATCTTATTTTTATTTAAATTAATTGCTGCAGTTGTCACTCCTCCAGGATGCATTCCACCTGTTCACCACTTTTTGAATATATCTCAGAATTCTTCCATTAGTGAAATGTAGTTTTCTTGATGATAATACCTTACTTTTCTATGGCACTTGGCAGTTTTCAAAACACTTTTGCATTCATTACCTCATTCAAAACAGTGTCATGAAGTAAGGACATATTTGTATTTCCATTTTACAGGTACATTTTACTGATTTTCAATGTTGGAAGGTACCTGTAAGATCATGGGGTCAGACTCTTTTTTACTGGTGAAAAATCTGGGTCTCAGAGATGAGAGAGCTCTCTCCAGTGTCACACTCCCCATCAATGACAGAACCCAGATGAGAATCTTTGTGACCCACAGTCTTGAACTTTAACCCTGGTGTAACCCCCACCTGGGCAAATGGCCCATTCCACTTGGCTTAGAGCCATTCTGACCCCGGCAGCCAGAATCCCTTGAGGGAGCTGGACAGAAATGCGGATTCCATACCCCAGCCTGAGTGAATAGGTCTTGCAATTAAGAAGCTCAGACATCAGCATTTAAAACACACTGAGATGATCCTTCTGGACTGAGGAAGTGGAAGAGCTACTGGCTTATTGTATTTAAGCTCCGTGGATCTGATCCCCTTTTTATATGGTTGTCTTGAAGCTCATGACTGCCATCATGAATCCCTCTTTATGAACTTCTCAGGGTCCTTTCCTGTCTTTGTTAGCACATGTTGAATTCTCATTGTTCACGGATATCTGTGATGATACCTTTCCTTTCTAAAATTCACAGCGGGACTCTGCTTTGAGCACACCATTGTGTTGGCGGATGTTAAAGGGGCTGCTGGCAGGACAGACTCAAGGGTATCTGAGAGTAAAGAATGAACTTGAACGGGCCAAGGGAGAAGGCTGGGCCGATGGAGAGCACCACTATTTGGACACAGAAATTTGGGCAGCTGTAGAGGTGACTCATACTGCCCCTCTGCCCATGCCAATTGCAAGCACACATCTGCAGCTGAGGCAGATTGAGAACAGTGTTTCTCCCCTAGGGTGATGGAAGTGTGCAGAAGCCCATGCTTAGTGCTTTCATACATTACCTCTTTTAGACTCCCAAAAACCTCCATGAGGCAAGGCAGTAGATGCAATTATCCAGATTTGAAAATGTGGAAACTGAAACTCAGATAATTTGCCCATATTTTTATAACTGATAAAATAGTGAGGCCAGGAATCAAAACACCTGATTGGCTCCAAAATTAGTGCCTTTAATCTCCACAACATAGAGTTAATTCTCATTATTCACAGATTCTCTATTTGCTTATGAATGACCACTTGCTAAAATATGTTTGTAACCCCAAAATCCGTACTTGTCACACTTTGCCGGCCATTCACGCACAGTGATGGAGCATTTGAGTTACCTGATGGAGCATCCCCAGCTGTGGGGGCTTGTCTCAGCTCTCAGACTGTAAAATAGTGTCCTTTTTACAGTCTATTTACTACCACGTCTTTCATGTTTTTGTGCCTTTCAATGGTGATTTCACTGTTTAAAATGGCGCAAGCACAGTGCTGATGTCCTGTCTAGTATTCCTAAGTGCAAGAAGGATGTGCCTTATGGAGAAAACACATGCTAGGTGACCTTTGGGCATGAGGTATAGTGCTGTTGGCCCAGAGCTCAATGGTAATGAGTCAACAATACATGTTAAAGGTGTCACTCAACAGAAATACAGATAAGACAAGGTCACCTACTGATTGACTAACAAAAATGTGACTGGGGTCTGGCAGGAACCTAACGCTGTATTTGTCCTAGGAGCAATGGCTGGGTACTCCATGATCCAGGGTTTGTGGTGACTTTATAGAACAGAACTGTTGCAGATTATAAGAATCAATTGTATTTCCTTGTGAGCATCCCCAAAAGCCAAGCACAAGAGGGTGATGCCCATGGTGGTCAGGCCAGACTGACTGGGCTTACGGTGGGGCAGCCCGGCCTCCTGGCTCAGCCAGCCTTGGGTGTGTCAGCTCCTGCACTAACTCTGGGCTTCTCTGTTTTCTCCTACAGAGGGACACAGCTGAGCCCTTCCTGAGGCTCCACAACTTGTACCTGACCCCACGCTGTGCCAGGCAGGCCACCCTGCCCAGGCTGAGCCGCAGGGTGGTTAGCCAGCATTCCTACCCACTGAATCGCTTTTCCTCTGTGCCCTTGGACCCCATGGAGCACCCCACCTCCCAGGCAGACCTTGAGCTGGATTACAATCCTCCCTGTGTGCAGCTCAGCGATGAGAGGTTCGTCTTCCAGGACGGGAGGTGGCTGAGCGAAAACCGCCGCCTGCAATCCTCCTCCTTCTTCCCCTCCTCCTTCCACCACGAGCTGCAGCACAAGAGGCTGGCCAGGGAGTTCCTGCTGCGGGAGGAGAACAAGGCCCTCCCTGAGGAGAACAAGACCCTCTGCCAGGAGAACAAGATCCTGCAGAGCTTCTGGGAGGAGCACAAGACCACTCTGGGCTGGGAGGAGAGCAGAGCCTCCTCGCTGCCGCTGCCCAAGGACAGCACGTCCCTGGAGGTGATGAAGAAGGACGCGGCCCTGCAGATGCACCGCAGCAAGGAGGACGGCACCCTTCAGCTCCTCAGGGAGGAGAACTGTGCCCTGCAGCAGCTGCTGGAGCAGAGAAGGCCTACTGGGCCCAGGTGGAGAAGACAGCCCCTGCTGAGGGGGACAGGTGGGCCCCCCTGCTCCATGAGGAGCCCCACAGCCCCAGGCTGCTGCCGGACCAGGGCCCAGGTGAGCAGCCAAAGCCCTCGGACCTGCAGGAGGACCCCAGGACGCTCCGTGCCCTGCATGAGATGGTCAACAACCTGTCTTCGTCTTCCAGGCAGGAGGAAAGCAGAGGCGGCCCCAGCCTGCCTGACGGGGGCCAGTCGCTGGAGCTGCTGAGAGAGATGAACCAGGTGAGGCAGGCCCTGCAGGCCCTGCAAGAGGAGAACCAGAACTTGCAGGCCCCGAGGGAGAAGAACCAGCTCCTGCAGGAGGAGAACAGGGCCCTGCACGTGCTGCATGAGGAGCACAGGGCCTTCCAGGAGAGCAGGGCCCTGTGGGAGAACAACACACTGAAGCTGCAGCAGAGGCTGGTCATCGACACAGTGACAGAGGTCCCCACCAGGATGCAGACTGCCGGCCAGGAGCAAGGAGCCCAAAAAGCCCAGCAGGGTCTGAGGCCTCCAAGACTCATGGAGGCCCCTAGGTGTCGGGCACAGAACCCTCAGTCAAAGTAAACCTGCCTTCTGTTTGTCTTCCCGGCTTTCATGCACCAGCTTGGGCCTGTTGAAGAGAAGAGTTAAAGGCCTTCCTAAACTCAGAGAAGTAATAAAGGCGTGAGGAGGCTGGGGCCAGTCAACACTAGTATGCTGCTCTGGCTTTTTCTTTTTTCTTCTTTTCAATTTTTTATTTATGTATTATTAACATACACTCTTATGAAGGTTTCACATGAAAAAACAATGTGGCTACTACATTTACCCATATTATCAAGTACCCACCCACACCCCAATGCAGTCACTGTCCATCAGTGCAGCAAGATGCCACAGATTCACTGTTTGCCTTCTCAGTGCTACACTGTTCTCCCCGTGACCCCCCACACCATGTGTACTAAACATAATACTCCTCAGTCCCCTTCTCCCTCCTTCCCCACCTGCCCTCCCACACCCCTCCCCTTTGGTAACCACTAGTTCATTCTTGGAGTCTCTGAGTCTGCTGCTATTTTGTTCCTTCAGCTTTGTTGTTATACTCCACAAATGAGGGAAATCATTTGGCATTTGTCTTTCTCCGCCTGGCTTATTTCACTGAGCATAATATCCTCCAGCTCCATCCATGTTGTTGCAAATGGTAGGATTTGTTTCTTTCTTATGGCTGAATAGTATTCCATTGTGTATATGTATCACATCTTCTTAATCCATTCATCTACTGATGGACACTTAGGTTGCTTTGATATCTTGGCTATTGTAAAAAGTATTACAATAAACATAGGGGTACATATGTCTTTTTGAATCGGAGAAGTCATATTCTTTGGGTAAATTCCAAGGAGTGGGATTCCTGGGTCAAATGGTATTTCTATTTTTAGTTTTTGAGGAACTTCCATATTGCTTTCCACAGTGGTTGAACTAGCTTACATTCCCACCAGCAGTGTAGGAGGGTTCCCTTT